ACATCATTCTCATTTTCAATCATAGCAGGACAGTTTGCACAGTTGACACATTGGCAGAGGTCACTACACGGCAAATGAGCCCTTTTGCATGGACAGATTTGTGTAGCACATGAATTTGTCTTGCACTTGCAAGACATGTCCATGGTGACATCAGATGGAGCTGTGGGATTTACCATCCAACAATAGGAGAGCACTCCATCTTCAAAGGACCAGACATGGCCTTCTGGGTTAGGGGCGTTAATAAACTGGTCCAAACACCTTCTATAAATTGCTAGCTGGTATGGAGCTGGCTTAGAATGTTGTCAAAGACAATCCACATTTGGTGGAAAAGATTGATCTGATTTACAGAGAAGAGAACATTTTAAACCTGGCATCATTAACCCAGTTTTTCTGTCCATAAAAGTGACAGACAAATTCTTCAAGCTGAATGAACAATTTATCATCAACATCCCAATTTTTCCCAAGAATTTGAAAGCAATTAACAGCTGGCTCTGATTCAAGCATCAGCCTTAAGGCTTTAACTTTTCCTTTCCCTTTAAAGGCACTTAACATGTCACATCCAGTAAAAGCATGAAGACCAACAAAAGCTAGACCTTTCCTTGGACCATGAAGACTTGCTAGATGAGAAATATTAACAATACGAGTTTTGCAGTCCCTGTCTTAAAATATAGTACTCTCAAAACAATGCACACAACCTAAAGCCAAGGCCATGACATCAGTGTCTGGGCTCAAGATAACAATATCTTTATATTCCAAATAAGCATGCTTTGCATGAAGTAGAAGTCTGGTATCAGCTTCTTTCACGATGACAGCAAAGATTGCTTTGGGTTTGCTCGCGTACAACACGTTTACTTGCTCTCCCAATTTTTGTTTTGTCCGTGTACTTCGAGTAGCACTTCCTACGGTTCCCCAGCTCAGCGGGTCCCGGCGACTCAACTGTGTACTGAGAGAAAGTCTCGGCTATTTCTTTCTCCCTGCCATCCAGGTCTATCCAGGAATTGCAACTTTCAATAAATCGCCGCCAACTGGCACCAGAAAATGAAATAATTGGACGTTTTTCGTATTGAAACAAGTGCAAAAAACATTTCACGGGCGCTGCCATATTTAAATAACAGAGCGCTCGCGCTGAGATTCAGCCATCTGATTGGCTGATAAGCAAAACTCGGATCTCGCGATTTCTTAGATTACGGCGAAAAATTATATTTTTAATCGACTATAACTTATTAATGTGCAAGTGAAAGGGTGGGAACATTGGCGTTTTAAGATCACTGTCTCTAGCAACTTATCCAAGTGAAAGAAAGTTGCCCCCTAAAAGTTCAAACGGAATTGCTTAAGGAGACGTCGTACAGATTCTGGCCCACGGACTAAAATTTACAACAAAGCAAATACATGCTGAAGAGCTGACAGGAACATGATGTGTATTTCAGGTGGAGTGGCAGGACAAAGTGGTTTGCAGAGTGGAGACGAGCGACTGCAGGTCCAGGAAGTGAGTCTACATGATATGAATGGATTCAAAGAATGGTACATGATAAAGACTTTACCTGATGGGTTAGTTACAGTCGTCATTAGGAAAAGGCAGGAAGAAGTGGAATGGCTTACAAAGAAACCAAAAAAAAAAGTTCTTGGGGTAGAAGATACCATATTCTGAATTCTGTTGACTGAAGTCAACCGCCATTTGCAGTTATATATTATCCTTATGTAAAATTTTAAGTATGTCATCAAAGGAAATTAATTTAAAACCCGTTACTCAAACAACCAAGGTGTTTAGGGAGCAGAGATTGCTCAGTTTTGTGTATTTGGTATCAGTGCTAATGTATCAGAGTAAAAAACACCCAAGTAGTTCCAATGATTGTCATAAGCTATTTTTGTCAGGCAAAATTATCTTCAGTTTAATCAATCACTGAAATGCAAAAAATGAATAAAAAAAAAAATCTGATATGTGTATGTCAAGTACGATTTCAGAATACATTAACCACAGAGCCAAGCTGCAAGCCATGACAGCTATTTTAAAGGATCTTCAGAAAGGTACAACTGCCTTTTAGATCAATATGTCAGTTTTTTTAAACACATACATAAGTCACATTAAATTCAGACTTTCACCCAAATTGCAGAATGTAAGAAGTACATCAGCTGGTCACAATATGAGTTTACATAACACCTGCATGAAATCAATTAATGTTAATGGCTAATGAAAACCTAAACACTAAACACCATGTTTAACCAAATAAAACTAGTAACACATTTTCTCCTGATTCAACAAGCACAAAACTTAAACAAATTTTCTGCTCCCATTTCTAGCAATTGAAGGAATCAAATCAAGCTCTAATAGTTTACAAATAAAAACATGGACAGTGACTTTTGTGATGGCAGAAAAGTCCAGTTTTGCAGCAATATAAAGGTTAAAAAAGATCTGAATATAAACAACCAAATGAAAGGTTACTGAAAATAAATCTAGTTCCTGAAGATTTAGGAAAGAGTTATTCAGCTTATTATGCAACAGGTGAGTACCTAACTAAAATATTTCAGTGCTCCAAAACAAAAATGATCTTCATAATGAGTTGTGAGCGCCTTTATAAATAATCAGCTGTATGCAGTGTATCAAATATAAATGCAGCTGATCTCTAATATTCATTAAATATTGTATTGAATGTTTCTTTACATACAGATTCTCGCTTTATGAATAAAGATGGTCTAAAGACACGTGAATTTGTGCAAATATTTGTATTTGTCTTATAGGTGGTACTAATACATCTAATAGCTGAGGCCCATTGATTTCTAGCTTTGAACAGATTAATCTATGGAGCCAAGATGAATGGACTGGAGAAGGATTTGGGTGCTTAGCTAAATAAACCAAAATTATTATTATAACCACTTAACAAAAATAATCAAAGCATGTTACTAATACATGCAACACATGTAAAACTCAACCATTAAAATAAATGTGTTTTATATGGCAGTCTTCAACTTGTACATAGTTTCTTGTTCTTTGGCAAATGTATCCTAAATGCAGATATATATGTATTGGTCAAAGTTCACTAATGTTCAACAACACAAAGAGTAGATCAATACTAAAGCACCTGCTGTTCTGTACAAGTGTACTTTGGAATTTTGTTATCAAAATTATTTTACCAGCTTAGTCTATTAAGTCACATAGAAAATGTAGACTGAACCTGACATTGATTGTTAGGGTCACACAACAATGAATTAAAATAAAAAAGAACATCATTCAAATGAAATGTTTCATCCAGTTTAAAGAGAAAAGCAATGTCATGTTCTAAGATAAACATATTTGTTGGTATAAAAGAAATTCATACAAATTAAGCCAAAAGTGAGAGGAGGTAGAAATCAGCTCAGTAATTTATACTGTATTTCTAATTGTTTTAGTTCTGCTTTGAAACTGATGCTGATGTCACATCAGGCTCAACTGGGAAAAGAAAAATGAGTAGGATATTTGTCACATGTCATGTTAATAGCTTAGAAATGGTACTCACGTAGAAGATAGGAATGTCAACGATATCTATATCGAAACTGCCTTACTCATATACCATACTGTTCTGCTGCACCCAAAGAAATGTGGGACCACAGATTTTGCAACTGCTCAGTCACATTCCTGTAAAAATAAAAACAGGGGAGATATTCCCCACACTATAACACTATTGTTCAAATACCTTTTTCTTTATATTCCCTTTTAAAGCCATCATTCAGGTTTGCTGAATGAAATGACAAATACAACTAATTAGTTGTATTTTTTAACCCATATGTGTTAAATCATATTCATATCTCCTCCATAGTCTTGTCTGCAATTCATGAGTGGTGCTAAAAGACTGAGTAGTAAGAAGATTCATGGGGATTTCAAAGTGTTATAATTCTGATCAGCTGCATGTGCCATAATGTATTAAGAAATAAAACATAATAGGATAATTTCTTTAAACTCAATAGCCTTTTTAAATCTTTAGACCATACAAAAGTATGTTTACTGCAGACAGAGGGTTAAAAATGTAATTAACTTTACAGGCTTTGAAAATAAGTCTTTAATTACTATATTGGTTATCTTAGCTTCTTAGCTTTAAGGCAAACTTGTACGATTCTTAAATTAAAACTCTATGATCTTTTTTAATAAGGTAATCCATCAGTCAGACTTACAAAACCTTATGAGATGTAATTGTTTTCAAAGTAAATTCAAGAGGTCATACAACCCTGCATGTTCCCGAACTGTACGTACCAAAAAGGCTCTTTAAAAGACCACAACTTCCACAGGCATTGACATAACAAATCGATTTTCTTTTTTAAATTTATGGATGAAATTCTAAATTGTTCATCTTTTAACATATAAGACAAGTATTTGTTCCCTACATAATACAGAATGAAAGCATGCTAAAACAAACCCAAGCCATTTATCTAATAAAACTTATGAGAGGGAGACATGTTTCACTCTGAACAGGGTTTAAAGGCATCACTTTGGACAGAGAGCAAAACATCCTCTTGTTTAAAAAGGCCACTCTTAATATACCACCAGTGCCTCTCATGATGCCATGATTATTGTTTTAATTTACAGGTGAACAGTAATGAGAAAATTTAGTTTTTCTGAGCACTACAGAAATAAATATGAGGTATTATTCATCACAAACCAATCTGATTCAGTTGAGGGGGTTAAGTGAGGATCATGCGACATGTTGTCTAAACACTAACACAGATATATGCACTTTAAAGAGGAAGCATCTTATGGAACATAATTTAAGTTAGAAAAAAACGATGTTATCCTTTTAGCACAGGTGTTCTATTCTCTGTGGAAGATGAACAGATTTCACAGATACGATTTTAGCGAGTTGATTTCAAGACTTTGTCTCATCCATTCCCTGGTTTTCATTATAAGATATTTACTCCAGTAAAAACAAAGGTATGAGGGAATGCTAATTTCAATTGACAACATGGAGTTAATTGACTGTTAGTTAGATATTGAATGTGTTACTAACTAATAACTTTGGAAACTTTCGAAGTGGTCAAAAATCCTTTAGGGATTTAGCAGACTTGGTCAAGTTGCTGTAGAACTCTGCCATGCTGGACGGAAAGAACGAGTCAACCACAGAGCGAGGAAGTAAGCCGCCCAGGTCTGTCTGGAAGAAACTGAACACCTTGGTTTTGTTGGGCTCTCTGGAAATGATGAAACATGTGATCAATTCACAATAATAATAAGAAGAAAAAGAAAGCATAGAAACTTAACTAGATTCTGCACACTAAAGTATGTGCATGCCAGCTCACTCACCCCGAAATGGGAACACAAATGCAGCCACATGGATGGTTGAATCCTCTCACATAGCCAGAGTGGGGAGGACAGCTAGGATGACTCACATTGGTAGCTGTTTGATGTCACATGAAAGATACAAACATGTATTCTTACAAAAAGAAAATCAGAGAAGTACAGGTAGAGGGTGAAAAGCTGTCTAAATAGTTGGTATGAAAATGATCCTATATTTGCTGCATGTGCCTGCTCTTGGCATTTCTGATGCGCTGTGTAAAGTTTGCAGCTCTATTGGCCAACTGATCCCCTGAAGTGTAGGCAGCATTTATGTCTGTGAACTGTGACCATACATACATTTCCAGTAAACCAGGGTATCTGATTTGGAAACAACCAAATGGTTTTGGTGGGCAACACAGCCTCTCTGAAGATGTTCATGTTGTCCTATGAGAAGGCATCCCAGTCTGTTATGTGAAAACGGTGCTGTAAAGATGTAATAACCTACTTGCTCCATACCTGTACAGGTTTGGTGGTTGGTCTGTTTCTGCACTGGTCTGTAGGATGGCATCATTAGCAGTGAGATGTGGTCTGATTAAACCAGGCGTGGAATTGGTGCAACTTTGTGATGTTTGTGTACCCCTGATCCGAAATGTGATTGTCTTTTGCGGTAAAGTTAATGTTTTAGTTCTGTTTGGTTGAAGTCCCTCCCCATATACATACACAAACAAACAATGCAGTTCTGGACAAAATGTGCAAAATAAAAAATAGCAAAAGTCCAGGAGATTAGAAAACATGAATTACGTACCATTTGATGAAATGGTGCCATCTTCGTATTTCTTTACTAAAATAACATCTACAAAGTCTCGTGGAGCTATCATACCCATAGCTGCTGAGGGCGTGACAGTTCGGCAGATGGAGATGTCCTACGTATGATTAGGAGAAGAAAACTAAAAAATGAACTGATCAGACAAATAAAGAAAACTAGCAAGATGTCTAGTATTATGTGAATGCATTTTGTGATGCAACAGGAAAATGTGAATGTCAGCATAAAAAGCCTAAATGGCAATTTCAAAGCAACAGAGTGTGCAATTATACCAACTTTATTAAGTTGACCTCAATGCACTTCCCTCTTTACTTCTATGGGCACAACATTTTCAGTTAATTTGCTTCTATTTTATATGTTTCTTAAAGACAAAATAAAAGATATTTTCAGTCATTTGGCTGTATACTAACCTTTGTGATCTGTTCCAGAAGCTCAAACCTTTTCACATTGTTGTCCCATTTGACTCTGAGTCCATTGGGTACAGGTTTCAGACATTCCCATACTTTATCAGGACAGCCATTGATAATCCCTTCGCCCTTATAACTGCCAAATCAATGAGATGACAGTACACATTAAGACAGCAGATTATTGAAGCCTGACTCTGCTGTACATTGGATTTATGCCATTGGACCAAAAATAGAAAAAAAAAGTGATGTAAAAAATTGAAATGAATGGTTTAAGAGTCTCTGTTTTAGCTTTTTCTGTGGATTAGGCATATTTCAAAAAAGCTGTGAGACTGAGAAATAATGGTATTTTTAAACAAATCTGAAAACATGATGTATAATCAAATAATCTTAAGTTTATACATTTAACATAAAATCATAATTGTGAGAATGCGTATTGTTTACATCAGTGTTCCGCAGCCTTGGTCCTTAAGGCACACTGCCCCCCCCCCCCCCCCCTTAATTCAAATGAATGGGACAGTTCTTTAGTTTTTTAGAAAATATATTATTTAAATCAGATGTGTACTTGGAAGACATGCAGGGCAGTGTATTTTGAGTGGGTTTATTTCAGACCGAAGAAAAAAAAACTGTGCTCCACATTTATGACTATAGATTTAGTCCAAAATTCAGAAGTTCAGTCTTGTCATATTCAAATGACTAGTCTGTTTGTTCAAAACAGAATATGATCCACTATAACTGATAGGTGACAGCTTTCTGTGACTCTTAATCAAAATCCATTCCTGGAGGCAGATGGGGAAGCTCGTGGGGTGGTCTAGGATGTTATTTAAGACAGCAAAATCTAGTTCACTGGTCTTGAAAAAGCAAAGAAACAGACAGTTCTCCTTTACCATTGCAGGAAAAACTATCCTTCCTTTCTGAAAAGATTACTAAGACCCTGGAGAAGTTTTTGAGAGCAGCCTAAAGGATATAACCTCCTTCAAGATCCCTTGTAAGAAGTTGGAGAGATGGCCGAAGATGCCAGCTCAAGGGCGGGACTACCAGGAAAATTCATGGCATTGGTGTACCAACACAGGATTCTGCTAAGGTTACTGTGGCCACTGCTCCTCTATGAGTTTCAGATCACCCCATTTTCAGATCCTGGAAGGAGAGTTAGAGGCTACCTGAAGAAATGGCAGACTGCCAAGGAGCTTGAGTGTTTTGTGTGTATAGCCAAAAAACAGTCAGAAGTCCTTAAAAAAACCACAAGGCTTGACTTTTTCTTGATTCTATTTTTCCACACCCATAACACTGAAATTATTACAAAGAGAAAAACACAATTTACTAACTACATTTAAATTAGTATCTATCAATCTACAAAATAAAGAGTCTGCATATACTGAAAGCTAGCGAGTATATTCACTACAAACATAACTAATTAGCTCTTAATAACAGCAATACGAAATAATGCAACAATGTTCACATGGTATACTTACAGATTAATATTCTCGAAGGCAAAAGCATAGGACAAAATGTATTTTAGCTGTCTCTTTACAGCTGTCGGTGCTCACATTCTCAACTGTGCATGAGTACTGAGCATGCAAAAGAAAAACATGGCATAGATGCAGTTTCTCTCAACAAAAGAAAAAAACATTAATTCAAACGTGGTATCTCTGAGCCAAAACACATATATTTTTTAAACCTGCTTAATTATCATCTTATGAATATAAACTTAACTTTTAACCTTTAAAAACAGTACAACCAACTTTTTGGATCTGGAGAGAAAATTCAGCCACAACCTGATGTGATGGCAAGGAACTTGCTAAATGGTACTCTCCTTTAAGTCCATTGAGTGGTTCAAGGATAAAGGTTTTTCACGCAAGAGAGGTGCTACAATATCATGAAACAGTATACCCTTAAGTCTCTGGAGTGGGGACTACAATGGAAACCATGAGGAAATGGAGAACAGAGGATGGAATTCAACACGCACAGTCACATCTAGACCATCGCAGAGAGCATCTACAGTGCCATTGCCAGTTGTCACAGACTAATACCTAGGAAGCAAGCCATCAACTTGATCCCAGCAGCAAGAAGCCAAAAACATGTACAGCAACGGCAGGGCTTTTAAGCACTGCTCAGGACTGGCAGCTTTCAGTGAACATGGGCAGTCAACTCATGCTCCCCCAGCATGTCATTAACACCATCCTCAGAACTGAAATCGTCCAGGGGCCATTGAGGATGACATGGAAAGAACACATGGGTACATGCCTTTGAGTGGAAGAGGGAAAGGTAAGACAGTCTTTTCAATGACGGCCACAAATGAGGCTGGAAGGTAAGGTGCCTCCAGTGGAGGCTGAGAGACAGATCAGTCTCTCTCCATTTAAAAGGAAAGGAGAAGAAAGGCCATCTACATGAGCACAGATGTAGAAAAAGATGTAGAAAAATCCACATTGGATTTAATAGTTTTTCAATATTTTTCATTATCTAACCTAAAGCTATATGTTAACATTAAAGTATGGATTTTACTTTTCATGGGCTGTCTTCTACCATGTGTCATTCTATATCACATCGCTCATTCATGGACTGTGGCAATCTTTGTGTTTAAAAATGCCTTAAAAAAAGAAAGAGTCAGATATCCCCTAGCTATACAATTCCATACTTGTGTGCATACATTATTCAAATCTAGTGAATTATAAATAAAAGAGAGAGACAGATATTTCTTACACATTGCCATGGAACTCTGTTGAGGGACGCCAAGACACAAGCACATCATTCTGCCAAAGAAACAGACAATATACAGAAGTGAGAACCCCATGCCTTTTATGATAAATAAATAAATTTAATCCTCAACTCTGACAAAGTTTAAGCCCAGGTGTGAGCCACCCCCCCGTTCCCCTTTCCCCAGAGACAGGCTCCCCAGCAGCCTCCTCTGCCCCTGGTGGCATACACCATGCCTCTACAGTGTACTTATTAAATGCAGCATATACTTGAAAATAAGTAATTAATTGTTTTTGCCTTGTGTATGAACTGTCCTTTACAAATAAACTTGCCTTGCCTGATACCATCAGTTTTGCACATATGAAACTGAGGACACAAGCTTCTGGACATTAACAAGAGGAATGTCCCATTTCAGTCTGATAGTGGATTCAAGTTCATCAAAAGTCCTGAGTCTTCTTTGTTTGATTTGCACTGTTTTCAGTTTATGGAACATCTGCACTGTAGAGAGGTCAGTCCAGCATCTAAAGCTGTGCTGCTGGGACAGATGCAGCATGTAGTTCTACATAATAATTGATGTATATACATGAAGGCCTTCCCTGAAGAAGACTCTTGTTGCTCTAAAGCCTTAATCTACCTTTCAGAATCCATGCGACTTTCCAAATGGACAGGCTACAAGTTCCATTGACTATCTTGCTAAAACTTAGTTCAAACCAGGTAAGTGCTTTCCTCCAGTAACAGGACGTTACTCACTGATAAACACTGGTAAAAACCTAAACCCTTTAAACAGATTAAAAAAGACCTCCCTCAGGTTCCTGTCTCCTATCAACTTCCTTCATGTTTTGAAAGTGAGGTTGAAGACCATCATAGACAACAAACCTTACCCTTTAATATAGTATATAAATATAATATAATATAAGAATATATCCAAAATATAAGAATATAATATAAGAATAATAAAAGAATCATGCCCCACTTGATTCAATCATACTGGACTCGTCCTGCTTTGAACTGCTGGAATGTGGACATCTATACAGCAAAATAAGAAGTGGCATAAAAAGAAAAAAGCCTTACACTATAATAACTCAAATATTTAAAAGAACTCCTTTTGCCACTCACACATCAGATGCCAAGATTACAGTCAAATAGGAAAGATGGTGTTAATCTATTAAAAAATATTCATTGAAAACAGTTAATTGTTTTTCTAGGAGTCCAAAGGACCAAAAGTATGGGTAATGCCACCAAGGGAGTTGTATTGGCAAGCCAAAAAAATTCACCCTAAACTAACTTTACCTGGCTATCTGGGGAGTCTGACCCTCTCTAGTCGCTGCTGACTATCTTAACCGGCCGAAGCTTGAACCAGCTGCAAATGGCAAGCAATCCTGGATCAATTCTGACCTCTGGTTAAAGGGCTCTGTACAGAAACCTTACTATGACAAATAACTGCAATGGTAAATAGTTTGACAGTACGAACTTGTGCCACGCTTTCATAGCTACAGGCTTTTCGTATCAACACTTTAGTCATCACATCAAATAATAGAAAGCAGAATTTCACTGACAGAAAAAAATTTTTTGCACTGTCACAGTACTGTAACCAAACACTCTATGGAGTTACATAACTGTAAACAGTTTTGTATTTGTATATTTGTATTTTGTATGTGCACAAAAATATTGAACACATAATTCATCTCCCATATACATAAGTTAAAGAAATTGTGCAGGCTGGTATTGTTTTTGTGTGAGTGTGAATCTAAAATCTATGAGTGCAAAGCATTGTGAATACAACTTTAATTTCTAAAACGACAAAGTCTTAACTCAGAAGTGTTGAAATGACATCACGGTTGGGGAGTAATGGAACTCAAATTCCATCAAACACAACATGCTCGTAATTCAATCATAAAGAGAGAAAAGGTGGAGCAAATAGCTCAGGAAAAGAATTGGAGGTAAATTGTGTATCCAGTATTTATTTAAAATTATAATTTTTTTAGTACATTAGTGCATGTTAGTTTAATTAATAATAATTATAACATAATCAGTAGTTTTTCTTATTTGTACTATTTTGTTCACTTATTCTATTTTAACTACTATTTGCAGAAGCTAATGCAGACTATCTCCAAACAGGATGTCATTCTAGCAATTAGCTACGGCCTGTCAGCTTTTTTTTTTTTAATGATAAAGTCATCATTAGTAATTTAATAAACAGTGTCAGACACATAAAATAAAAATTACTTGGGATCGAAACTATGTCCTTCATAGCGTGTTTGGTGGAATTGGGGTAGGACTTCTTCCCCTGTGCCTTCATTTTAAAACTTTTCTACAAGTACCCACAGGCTTAAGTTTTTCCTGTTCCTCTCTGAGAATTTAACAATATAACTAATGCTATTCTCAGAGTTATTTCAACTTGTAAAACTTCATTTGAGATAAGGAATTTACGAAAACTCTACCCATGCTTACACTGGGAGGAATTCAACTATACTTCTAGTAATACTTATAAATTTTTTGTTTGCAGACGATACCAGTATATTTTGTACAGGTGATAATTTGCAGCAGCTTTTTGGCTGAAAAAGTTATGTCAACTTAGAGATATGGTTGAAATTAATACATTATCATCAAACTTGTTTATGTGGTTTGGAAACTGCAAAAGCAAAACAAATTTGCAAATCGTAATAGATGATGTAACTGTGGATAAAGTTAATGTAATTTAGTTTTTGGGAGTAATGATCGATTATAATAGTTTCTGGAAACCTCATATAAAATAAGTTCAGTCTAAAATATAAAGTATTGCTATTCACAAAGCTACACATTTCCTAAATTATACTGCACTTCAATTCTATATCTTGCTTTATCTGAGTTACTGTGCAGGAATATGAGGCAACACCTGCAAAACCTTACTACCACCGTTATGCACGTACAAAATACATAAATAGAAAAAAGAGCCATTACAATGGTTCTTAAGGCAGTATTCCATGACCATACTAACTTATTATTTGTTGAGTTCTGCTTCCTCACACTCCCAAATCTGATAGAAATCAACAGCTCAGTTGATGTATATCAAAGGAACAGCAGACACATATGGCAGTGCTTTCATAGAATAAATTGTGTTGTAGCAAGAGGTGACTTTTATTGGAGAGCTCAAATTTAAAACATTAACTAGGGAATGACCGAGCCTTTACCTCACAAGATACTGTATTTCTTACAAAGCCAAAAAAGCACAATGTCAAATGTAACACAAAATTTAACTCAAAGATGTTAAATGACTCCTGTGCTCTCTTTTTTTTTGTTGAAATCAACAAAAAAAATTGAAGTAACCTTGAATTTCACTTTTTTGGTTTAACTAATGTTGTATGAACATTATGACTTAATGATATGTGATATTACAGTAACTCTATAAATTGCAATTTAGCCTCATTGGTCACTTGTTCAATTTACACATCAGCCAACTACAGATCTTATTTACTTTTTGTTTAGAATCTGTCCATCACTTGTAATATTTTTTTAAATAAATGATTTTGACTTATGGCTCTACTGGGCTTGAGCTTGTCCCTTTCTGCCCTTATATGACATTGTGTATTGTTTGTACTGCTGCTGTAACATGAGAATTTCCCCACTGTGGGATCAATAAAGTACTCTAATATAATCTAATATATATTTATAAAGATTTGAATTAGATTACAACCTGCACTATGGCAACTGTAAAGGAACGTGTGACGGTTATGCTTTTTTTTTATGTTAAGATTGCTAAACACAATATAGTATGTTACCAAACCCAATACCCAGTGATTAGATATAATACCGTTTAATAGCAGACAAAAATTAAAACAAGCATTTACCGACTTCTTGCAGACCTTCCACCCGGAATCGTCCCTCATGTAGCCCATCAAGCAGTCAGCCACTGCTTTGGCTTTGTCTTCATAATCCATGACAGTTGGCGCAACCTTGTTAACCTAATTTACTTCACAGACTAAATGACACTACGCAGGACCGCTACCCCCTTTTTCTAAAACTAAAGTAAAAACCCGAAAGTCACTGTGGAGGTGACGTGTGTACGTGAGGTGCAGCAGTTGTCAATTTGGACCACAGCTGCCCAGCTGATCGCTAACCGCAGCAACACAGCTAGCCTTAGCTAAAATGAATGAGCTGTGCGGGAAGCACCAGCATCCTTAACTAGATAGACGGTCACTGCACGAGGCGTCGTGATGAAAAATAACATCCATGTCTCAGCTTATTATCGTCTGTACCATCCGATTGCTATGTGCTATCTTAATGTTGATTTACAATAAAACCACAACTTCGTATGACTGCTTTCTAACTGCTTCCCTGAAGGTATAATTTCTGTCGTCATCGAGGGATAAGCGATCATTTCCGATTGTTACTTTCAAAGTAAAACCTCTGATATTCATTTTTATGCAGGTCACGTGAGAATCACATGCCATTTGCTTTGGTTTTAACCCTGAGTACATTTGTGAAATAAAGTGAGAATGCTTTAAACACGGCAGAGAAAACGATTAAACATCAGGTGTGAATTGGACAAAATGCCTTGTTCCTACCCAGTGGCGGCCGGCCCATAGGGGGCGCTGGGGCGCCGCCCCCCCTAGATGTGGAGGGGAAAAGTTATAATATATATATTTATTCTTAAAGTATTATCAATGTCAGTTTTACTTAATAATATGTGTCTACATGTAATATGAATTATTAAAACAACACTTCCACCAACTGACTCTCATTCAACAGTGCATTTCCACCCACAGAACGTATCGTTTCTCTTCTGGGGGGCTAGCCCCAAGCGCCCCAGAAGAGAAACGAAATAACCAATTGAAAAATGTTGCTAGGGAAAATTAATAAATATTTGGCCAATCAGCATCGCCGAAATTATTGGCTTTGGGGCGCTTGGAGCTGGCGCCCCAAAGCCATAGACGTGTAGCTGGTGGTCAGTCAGGCAGTGACGTAGAGATGACGGCGACGACAGTTGAAGAGCAACTTTCACATAATTCAGTGAGATCTTTACTGAGATCTTTACCCTTTCGTGAGAAGGACAATGGTGGAAAAATTAAACGTAAAGGAGCTGGGACCTGACAAGTAGTGATGGCGAGATGAAGCTTCATAAAGCTTTGATGCGTTCCATCCAATTGGTTCACTCCTGTGTTGAAGCTTCATGGTGCTTAATTTGCTCTGTTCTGCCCCCTGGTGGACAATAAATGTAAACCGTACAGCGTGGGGATCGGCGGTAAGCATAATGGACGGATGGATGTTTGTGATGCTTATACATGAATTATAAACTTTTAGATGATGTCTGTCTTTATGATACAATGACAGGGAAGCTTGAATAGATCGCTCACAAACTCGTAATTAAGTCCCAAGTCCACAAAATGTGAGGGGGGGATTCATTGCGTTTTGCTGGCCCTTATTTTTCAAATAGACCGCCAAACCGCGAACCACTTCCTGAATCAGTCACGTGGTACGGCCGGTTCGCGAGGCTTCAACCGTCACCGCATACGTCATCGACACAAGCCTCGATACGCGCTTCACAGAAATCATCCGGGATTTCTCGACACGCACTTCGAAGCCTCGATACGAAGGGACACATCACTACTGACAAGTCCGAAATAAATTTAACGCAGCAAACCAATGAAAAACCTAAGTCCTACAGCCGGGCTTTTAACAGGAGCTGGTTCCAGCGTAACTCCTGGCTGACAGCCGGTGGGACGGCCAATGCACTTTTATGTTTTCCCCGCATTCCTTTAAAAGTGACCGGAGTGATTTGACGTGGACACAGTCTGGACATACAGATTTAGAACACATCTCTGAACAATTAAGAAACATGAAATATCACGAGTTCATATGGAAAACTGTGTTAAGCTAACTGTGTTAAGCTAACCACCTGTGTGCATACTTTGTGTGTTTGGTGCCAAATAGTGAAATTGAGTGTTGTATTTCATATTGTTCCTTTCCAAAATAATACCTAATATCGCTTCAAATGGTTAACTGTATATGTAAACTGTTGATTCTGATAAGGGAATTAAATCATTATTGTGGAATTGTACTAATTTTACGACCTTTAACTTGAATGCATGTACTGGGTTAGGCAGGGAAATATATTGGCCCAGCCCCACCAAGATTTTTTTTCACCAGCCGCCACTGTTCCTACCCCAGTTCTGTCTGTGTGCTGGTGAATGTTCACAGATGTAGGCCACTATATGATGTACACACATAGCAATCAAAAACTAAATCAATTAGGCTACCTTGACACTGCAGCCTGAAGTGACCCAGACCCGTTTTTTTGTGAAATCCGAATTTTTTTGCCTGGCCATTCACCTTACAATACATGGTATTCGGGAGCCTGCTCAGTGTTGCCGTCTAGCTCTTCATTATATGGACAGGGAAAACGTCCACAGTCGCTTTATTTAATACTTTAGTCTGTTAATATTTGCCACATAGGCTCTTTATTTTTCTTTGGCATAGGAGCCAGGAATGTTTATGCCCACACTCAGCCATTTTTTGGGGAAATTCTAACAAATATCACTCAGTGCCCATAAGAGCCCTCAAGTTTGGTCTGGATAAAGCTATCCCTAAAATCAATAACTACGGTTTCTGTCCACTGACTGTTCTCCAAATTATTACCTGCTATGGTTGTTTTTCTTTCACATAGCAGTATCATTCTCACTATAATGGTCCTGCAGCCAACATTTCCCCAGAAGGGAAGATACTACTGTACAGAACGCAAGAATATCAGTTTTCACAGGGTGTTTAGAGCACACTAGCATGATTTGGCATCAGATTTAGACAGCTGAAAGTGTGATAAAACAATTGCATGTTAAATTTCTGATCAAGCAAATGCATTTGGTTCAGTGTCACATTGCCTTTTGGAGGGTGTTAACGTAAGTTGTTAACTTATTAAAAGCATGTAAATTAAATGTACAATAGATGAAGAGTAAAATCAATAATTAGGGAAAAATCAGTAAAGACTCTAGGTAGGTGGTACAAGGCAGGCTTGAACGACGAATTGAGCAAATTCCAGTGAGAAGTGAAAGGTAGCTGTGGAACGTGTTTGAAGACAGTAGGAAATGTTAGGGGTACAAAGATAGTTGTTCAGGCTAAACAGGGGCAGTCACTGCATTTGGAATATGTTGAGAAGATAAGTTAATGATACAACTGAGAAGGAAAGCAGCTTTTAGGATGCTTGGAATTGAAAGAATGGCTTGTTGTTCCCCAGTACAAAAACATTACAAATCTAAGGTCTGATAAAATCTTGTGGTCTATTTTGTAGAGCTGACTTTTCCTAGAGAGGATTTGGTAAGAGAAGCATATGAAAGGAAAAGGTTTTGCTGCAAGGTCTGTTGTCTCATTGTTGGGTGTAAGTGGACAGAGTCTAAGGAAAATGTCAGATGAGGCACTAATGTCAAGTCAGTGGATTTAGATAAGTAAAAGCAAGAAAAGCTGGGGCCAACTGGAGGAACACTTAAAGCTGACAGAGTTTTGGGGAAAGCAAGGAAGAAATCCAGGAAGAGGAAGTATATTTAAGTGGAGCATCCAGACCATATAAACTTTTTTTTATAGATCATGCAGCTATACCAGGTGTTTGGCAGGTATTCTTCATGACTGTAGGTCTGTTTGAGCTTTGGCTGTCCCTGCAGCCTTGCAAGTGTCTATGTGTCGCTCTCTTTGGTGTACAATGTCTTTTGATATTCAATATGTACCTTACAGTGCATGAAATGTCATTAAATATAAGCAGATAATCAGTTACTATTTGCAGCACTGGACCACAGCTCAACAGACCTCAAGTATGTCGTAAAGGTAGCATGAACAACAGTTGGTGTCAATCTCCTATGCCAACCCCCACTCAGGGGGATGTTCCTATGTGTTTTATATTGGTGTAAACTGTGTACAGGTAAAGCTGATCTAGCCACACCATCTAAGTGAAATGGTCAAGATCATCAAAACAACTCTTTTGAATACCGTCTTACTGTACCTCCCTAAAGTATGTCTTCAGAAAAGATAATCAAAAGTCTTCTCCTAAAAAGGTCACACAAAAGTAATTCCCTAACAATGCTGAGCACAATGTTATCATAGATCACGTGGTTTTATTTTACCTTAATCTTACAGTTTTTACTTCTCAGTCTCAGTTCTGTTACATATTTCTTGAATATGATTTATTCTGTAACTGGATCTGCCCCAAACTGATGTCTTTCAAACACAATATTTTTCTTTGGTTGGCAGTAAGCATTAGAGGCGTTTCATATGCTTTCAACACTCTTTTCACCATCAGCCTCTACTTTTTCAAGTGTATTGTACACTTCAAGTGAATCTTTTCCTAAGGCATGCGGTTAAGTAGTTACTTTTATTTATTTAGCATTAGTAAGTGCCACTTGCTGCCATCTTCTTATGTTTTCACCAATATACCGATATTGCCAGCAGGGGTGGTTCTGTGAATTGCTCCATCTCCCTACCTCATGCAGCAGCCTGCCTGCTTGTGGCTATGTTATCCACTAGACACAAGTTCGCTGTCAAATAAATCCGGCAAAATAACGAACTGGGTCGACTTCTTACACCATGTATTATATGAACTGCACAAAGACGGACGCTGTACAGATTAATCGCAAACTGCATTTATTAACTATTGTCTTTAGAACAGTACAGCATCAAAACTTTCAGGGCCATTTCCAAATCCCTCCACTACCAGAAATCACAATCACAGATGGACAGAACATTTATTTATTTTTCTAAACATTCCAGTGTTTATAACAAAATATTTTTTCAAGCTTGCCAAACTTTTTTTCAGGAACTGATGAGAACTCTCCAAGGTGTAAATAGGATCCATCAACCTCAGTAAAACTGTCTTTTCTGATGTTAGCCATGGCTTGAGCATTTCTATGCAACTTATTTTGCTTGGCTGGAAAAAGACTTCAGACTTCACCATAGGTGGTGGATGATGAACTTGATTGCAGATTTTAAGGTGGAGTGACTCAAGGCTCTGAAAAACAGTTTAGATGGCTTTGACGGACATTTTTATTGTATTTCGTGAATGTCCTTACAAACCTCAGTGACAGAGACTGAAAAAATCGTTTTTTATTTTCATTTTTTGGCTATGATTTTCTAGTGCCAGAGAAATGTAAACAGTATGCTTTTCCCAGCATGCAATGCTAACAGGCCATCATGCATAATTTCAAATAAGATATACACCGTCTTGCATCAAATTAAACACACCTCTACTAGATTATTTTTGCTGCAAGGTATGTAAGAAATTAAGTAATCATGTACTAAATATAAAATCAAAACATTCTGATTTTACTGGGTGTAAATGGAAAGAAAGTAAAAGTAAAAAGAAAGTAAAAGAAAAGGTGTTATACTGTCATCTCTAATGCTACATTGATGTAATTAACTGCCTTGGATTTCAAATTTACACAAAAAGCTGCAGTATAAGGAAGTAATCACATTTATTATAATACTCTTTGCACTTTCAATGAGAAGTATCAACAAATACAGTACAGAATCTACTGAGTACAACAATTGTATGTATTATTTTTTCAAAGAAAGTCAAACATTGGAGCAAACAAGATTGTTGGACTCTGTAGAATTTAAATCAAAGCTTTTCTTGGAATCTTTTTTGTGTAGCTTGTCTTGCCTGCAATCAGACTTTAGGTAGCTATCTTTACTGTGAATGACTTGAATGTACTGGTCAGTGCTGCTGTAATGCTGATCACTACTGGAGGCTAGGGAGGCTGAGTCTGACTCAGTCAGTGGAGTCTCCATGTTTGGTCTGAACTTGGGCTCAATATGCCTGGCTCTGGCAGGGGACTGACTTGGTTTTCCTGGGGAATGAATATGATGTCTGGTTCGTACAAGAAGAGGTTCAGCTGCACGTCCACCAGCCTGGGATGGAGAAAGATGGTCCAAATCTCCCCATTGTATTTCACTTGCATCATCCTCTGCTTCATCGCCTTCTTGTGCCCCATGTCGACTTTTAGCTATACAGTTGTATTTGTAGGTTTCTCTGTGATCACCGATGTAAAAATGTGCTTGCTGGTGCAAGTCAGAAAGAGAACGTAGTCGGTTGTTTTTTCCCAGTGACATCCGTTTCCTGCCTTTTCCCTGCTCTTCATTATTCTCTTCAGTGCAATGCTGGGATGTCTGGGATCTGTGAGAATTTGGCTGGTGTTGGGTGGTGCGAGATGTGAAACGCCTAATACTACGTGGGTACAGCTCCAGGATCTCTGCAGGTTCCTCCATGAGGTAGTGACGTGGCACTCGTGTGGCTGAACGCAGAACCTTTTTATGGGGCTCATGTTCATTGACAATCACATAGCGGGTGTTACGTCTGCGGTGCCCCCCATAATTCTGTGCTGTAAGGATCCCGGCAGCCTCAACAGGATGTAGGGTGCCTATGGTCTTCCTGTACAAGGGATTAGAGTAGATGTTGTCAGAATAGTGATATGGAGGATTAGGTGCCATACGGTGATAGGACTTTGATCTGCAGGTAACATTAGGACTGCCAAATAATGGCCTGGGCCTGTTTTGAGAAGAACAATTACATTAATCAGCATATGTGTTTATGACAATATTAATATATTGTTACTGAATAGCCAAACTCAGGAAAATGGAGTGGAGAATTATTCTAAACATAAATGTTTAAGGCAAAAATCGCATACTGGCAGAGATATCTAACACATGTTTAAGATTGGCATGAAAGCTGATTCATAAAGGAAAATTTCTTAAAGCTTTTGTGATTCGTATTGGTGATTTTGGCCTTCTCGTTTTTTGGTGATTAACCTTTACACCATTATTTGTGAGAGACATCCTCTTTTGGAACCTTGTTTTAGACCTAATGAGGTAAAAAACATTAATATTTATAAAAAATAAAAACAAAATTACAGTGTACTTTACTCTTTCTTGGGTGTTTCTCACCTGGGAGTTTTTTTTATATCCTTGAGATATCAAATTGAACTTAAGGATAATGTAAAATGAATTAACTCTTGGCAAAATTGGGAAACCTCCAGGTTATTCTAGTGGATGGGATAAGGATATGTGAGAGTATTGATCTCCCAAAGTTTTGGAAAATGGTGAATAGATTACAGTCAAACTTATATGATACTTTTTTTATATACATTTCACAAAACTTTGTTTTTGCGAGACAATTATTTATCATATGATGTATATATGATGTGCATATGTTGTTTCCATCATGACTTATAACAAGACTAACTTATAATTATTTAATACATTTGAATATTAATGTGGTCTGTGTTATGTTGCAAAAATAAATTGTTCTGTTCAGGTTCAACATAATATAAAAGTGTAGTTCTAAATTGATAAAATTAAAAGAAATGTATAAGAACTTAAAAGAAAATTTAACAATAATAATAATAATAAGTCTATGACAAAAATACCTGATGTTTGACTCAGATGTACTCCCACACACTAAATCTTAATCATTTATCAGTATTGATTAGAAATAACCTTTTAATGTGATTTTACCACATATAATATATAAGATTAATTGAAATAGGAAAAAGTGAAATTGTTTAAAACCTGCTGACTACATGTTCCAGCCGCCGTTTTGGTAGTATAGTCACTGCGGGACTTCTGACAGGTCCATGTGTGTTTCCTCCATTAAGATTGGCTCGAGAGGCTGATTGGGTAATGGTGCGGATGCTGCTGCCATGATGAACAGGAAAATTAAAGTTTGTGGCACTTCCATTCCGTCTTGGAGATGGGGTGTGGATGGAAGCCTCCTGACTTGTCATGTCACTGTCCTGCTGGTCTGGCATTTTATCTGGCACAGCCTCTGGAACTTGAAGTCTTGCTATAGGAGAATTAAGTATCAAATAGTCATGGACACAATAAAAAAACGGACATTTTCTACATTTGTACCACTGTTCATAACAACTAAAAACAAATAAAACAAAAAAATGCATTTGTGGGCAACATAACTTGGGACACAGTCTGGTGCATCAAAACCAAAAGCTGAAAATGGCCAGTGGACTATATAAACTTAAAAGTGTAAAGTACTTGAGAGTTTAAAAGTTGTTACAGTCTATGTTGTTCCTTTCTCCATCACTGACCCTTACACAGATTAATGCATTTAGTTTACTTCTCCAGCAAAAGATATATATCATTAAAGGCAGCGCAATCTGTGAAATTGTTCACAACACTCTTCCTGAGACCACCGTTTTGTCTCCCTCTTCTTGTGATCCTCTTTTCCCCTTGACTACACATGGTTCAAGATTAGACACCCCATATTGTTTGAAGAATCAGGTAATCTTCTGAGGTCAGTTATGTTATTTTGTCCATTGTCTGCTCTTATTTCTACAGTCAAAGTGACATGTTAAACCTGACATGTCCTTTGTTCTAGATATGAATCCTGACCAAATCAGTCATGGCAGTTGCCTGACTGATTTGGAAAGACTATGCAAGAAACCTCTTGCATAGTCTTTCTTTTCAACATAGCAAACTGTATGATGCGGTCACACACAATAAAAGACACGGTTTGAATGCAAGTTAGGTGTATATTAGGCACTCCTCTTCACATTTATGGGCACTATATTAAGTGATTGTTCTAGGGGTATAATGTAAAAAGATTAAATTGAACTGAAATCCTGCTTCACATCTACTCAAGTCCTTATTCACACGGTTCCCCTGGACAAAAGGGTATAAGCATTAAATATCTTAACTACACCCTGGAAAATTCCTATTGTGTAGGCTCTCAAACTAATATTGGCAACAGGAAGCTCCTATTTTTCAAGGTAGCGCCACTAAGTAGAGCTAGACAACCATTCTTCATGTAAATCAACCATATTGTATGTTTAAAAAGTAAAGTGTCTGAAAGTGATGCCTTGATATCTGGAACACTCAAATGTTTTTCTTTCACATCATTTGATGTCTTCTGAAGTGCTCAGAACATCAAATCAGATGTTTTCTCCTGGCAGGATAGACTGAGGGATCCGAACCTGAACTTGATACAATTCTGAGACTTACCTTTTTTGTGGCACTGCTCATTGGGGAAGTCAGCTGCATAGTCTAGTAAGGCCAAATCCTTTTACTTCATGCTAATAATGCTGACCAGTCTGTAACACTCAAACCCATGTTCACTATTTTAGATTTCCTCCCAGTTGGGGCCATCATTCTCTTCATTTTCATTCATTTTGTTGCATATGGGCAATGTACACTAGAGCAACTAAATACTCAAAGTTTAAACTGCGAGGTACTTATATCATACAACAACCATTATCTTCATAAGGGTGTTAATCCATTGTCTAGGTTAGTGGCTTTTACCAAAACTTCCAAAGACTTAGTTTGCATTATAAAACTTAGAGCCTGACCCTTTCATTTTTCTTATGAAAGAAAGAAAACCAAGTTAGATTTTTTTTAATGAGGTGAATACATTGATTTTATATTAATAGCATTTGCTGTGATTCCACACAAGATTAAAATAAACTTTAAATTTTTCTACAGAGAAAGTAGGAATTGGAACCAACTATCTTGGACTCTGAGCTCATAATTTAATAAAAGAGTGAAGGTTTGGACAGTTTACTGCAGATGTTTCCTGTAATAAATAATAATATTGCTTCTTGTCACCTATCTTGTATTCTGGGGACCTTTTTGTTCCTCTTAGTTTAATTAAAATGTTTCAAATCCAAGTGACACGCTTTGAAATTCTACAGCGTATCACAAATTATTTGTTCTCTTACCTCAATAAACAGATTTTCGTAGTTTTGGAGTAAAGTTTACCCAAATTGGAAGTTTAGATCTACTCCTAACTATTCAAATTTCCATATTCCTTCAACCACAGGCTGGATAGGAGTTACAGCTGTCTTAAAGTCAGTAACTAACTCTATTTTACGTTTCCATAGGCAAAATCACACAAACGTGCAACAAAATTACAAACACAGAATTACATTTTGGAAAGCAATTTTACATTTCACAAAACAAATGTCCCGAGACACTTATATACGACAAATTCAATAAACCAACTCCAACTCCAAGGCTGACCTGGATGTAATAATGGGAGCCCACCTGATACCCAGATGGAAAGCAATCTCGTGAAATTTGGTGGCACACATGAGTACATTAACACAATTTAGTTTTACGTGTGGTGAGTGTTTAGAATTTAACGTAACTTAATTCCCATCCAAATTTAGTCACCATGAGTGCTTCATCCTTGGAGTTGCTATTTTTTTTATGATTTAAGATAAGAATTCAGTGGCGGCTGGTGAAAAAAAATCTTGGTGGGGCTGGTGTGCCAATAGATTTCCCTGCCTAACCCAGACTTTTAACTTGAATACATGCATTCAAGTTAAAAGTCGTAAAATTAGTACAATTCCACAATAATGATTTAATTCCCTTATCAGAATCAGCAGTTTACATATACAGTTAACCATTTGAAGCTATATTAGGTATTATTTTGGAAAGGAACAGTATGAAATACAACACTCAATTTTACTATTTGTCACCAATCACACAAAGTAGGCTCACAGGTGGTTAGCTTAACACGGTTTGCTTAACACGGTTTTCCATATGAATTCGTGATATTTCATGTTTCTTAGTTGTTCAGAGAGGTGTTTTAAGTCTGTCTGTCCAGACTGTGTCCACGTCAAATCACTCCGGTCACTTTTAAAAGGATGTGGGAAAAAACATAAAAGTGCATAGCCGTCCCACCAGCAGTCAGCCAGGACTCACGCTGGAACCAGCTCCTGCTAAAGGATCGGCTATAGGACTTAGCTTTTTCATTGGTTCGCTGCGTTATATTTATTTCGGAATGTCAGGTCCCAGCTCCTTTACATTTAATTTTTCCACCATTGTCCTTCTCACGAAAGGAGAACTCAGTAAAGATCTCACTGAATTATGTGAAAGCTACTCGTCGCCGCCGTCATCTCTACGTCACAGCCTGACTGACCACTAGCTATACGTCTATGGCTTTGGGGCGCCAGCTCCAGGCGCCCCAAAGCCAATAATTTCGGCGATGCTGATTGGCCAAATATTTATTAATTTTCCCTAGCAACATTTTTCAATTGGTTATTTCGCTGCACTCTGGGGCGCTTGGGGCTAGCGCCCCAGAAGAGAAACGATACGTTCTGTGGGTGGAAATGCACTGTTGAATGAGAGTCAGTTGGTGGAAGTGTTGTTTTAATAATTCATATTACATGTAGCCAGATATTATTAAGTAAAACTGACATTGATAATACTTTAAAAATAAATATATATATTATTACTTTCCCCCTAAACATCTAGGGGGGGCGGCGCCCGAGCGCCCCCTATGGGCCGGCCGCCACTGGATAAGATCAAACGTTTATTACAACGATTCAAAATATAGATATTTATTGACTTTTGGTAGGGATACCCTGAAGACTTATCTCATTTAAGATGTATGCAATAGGTTTTGGTGGTATCCAAATTTTGACATCTTCATACTGTGTCCTGATTTTACTCTGGTATACAGTACTAAGTGACTAATTGAAAATGATGAGTTTAGGCTCGGAATATTGCCAGACTGCAGAAGTTTTCTTCGTGCCGCTCTCTCCACCACACTGTCACATGAAGACTTCACATTCATATATTTAAAGTTTCACTACTGTCAAAATAAAACTGGACATACAATCATTTTTAGACATCGACTTAATTATATCTTATATTTCATCTTTATTTCCAAGTGAATTGCACTTTTTTAATGACGGTAATGATGTTATTGAAACTGATACGGTTGCTTTTGAAAGATACCTTCGGTACACCTTATTAACACCCAACCCTAGTATGCAACAGTAGATACATTTTGTTAAAATTCTACCGCAAAACTGTATTAATCCATTCATGTGTTACACAAATGCCACTTGATTGCTGTCCATTTTGGGTCACCATGAGGGCTCCTGTTGTCAATTCTGGGTTAGCCTACAAGTTGGTTCTTTCCGTTTCTGGTTGATTTTGACGTTTGTAAAAGTGGATCAGGATTTGTTAATTTGGTTTGAAAGATGTTAATTCATTTTTCTAAATGTAATTTTGTGTCAAGTTTCAGAATTTGTTATGTTGGTTTGCACCTCCAAACCACCGTGCCAAAGATTTGGGTTTACTAATTCAAATTACTAATAAAGTCTCAGAGCTACATTTGATACTATCATAAAAATGAGCTATTGAGCTCCCAGAGTTTTGTGCGTGGAATGATTATTTTCCTGTAATATCTGCTCAAATTTGGTAACATTGTAAAAGAGCATGTTATACATTTCCATTGTTATATTTATCTCTGAAAACAGGTGAAGTTGTCAGTTGTCAGTTGTCTTCAAGTGTGAGTTAAGGCATAAAGGTCTTAAAGGATTTTCTACTTCCAAGTTCAGACAAAACTGAAGTTGCTTCTTTGGACCTGAGCACCTCAGGGAGAATCTGTCTTGTTATAATGAAACAGTATATTACAGTTCTTTGGCTTCTTGTTGCACAGTGATGAACGGTGTTGCTTTTTATTTATTTATTTATTTTTTGCAAAAAGCCTCCACTTAGCACAAAAATGCTCTAACCAGGGTTCTGATATAGTCAGAGGCAACTCAGGTGATCCTGACACAGCCCATACCAACACCCCTTGCTGCTACAGGTCCACACTGTTTCGGGGAACTCTCTTCCTCTGTTGTTATGTATCTTTCTCTTTTTCATCAAGTATCTGTAGTCTGGTGTCATTTTCTCCCCTTTTTCCTGTCCTTTCATGTTTAGGGCAATTTCTTTAATTGGCTTGGTATAAATTGAAATAACTTGGAATTTGATCTATAAGTTTTGACTGATTTATGATCATTGTACAATTTCTTTGATTATAATTGGTGAGATGAA